GAACCCGAATGGGAAGAGCCCGTTTCGTGCAAAATAGTGAAATAGAGAGGAGCAGAGCAACTCAAAAACACAGAGCAGTAACAAAAGGAACTGTCTGCCGTTTGCTGCATTTCAATCCAAACATAATCCTGTGTCAAGAGTTGAGAAATTATGGAGAGCAAAATGCCTTTTCCTTCTCCATCCTGTGCCTCATCTTCCCTTTTGCCTCCCCCTCTGTCGTCGCCCTACCGTCTTCCCTTGAACACAAAGCAGCCTAATCATGAATGCATACAATCTACCTGTCCGGTCTGGTACAGTCATGATAAGGGTAAGTTGAACACGACGACGACGACGACGACGACGACGACGACGACGACGACGAAGAAGAAGAAGAAGAAGAAGAAGAAGAAGAAGAAGAAGAAGAAGAAGAAGAAGGTGGTTTGGGGCAAGGCGGCGGTTCTCCATGCTGCAATGATGTTGCCACGCTTGTAGTCGCCTCGGCCTCATCATCATCCCATCGTCCTCACCGATCCTCTACATGGCTGTCCTCTTTCAAATGGAAACGCATATGGGTCTCGCTGCACTGCACAACATTCTAAGTGTATCTTGACCTAGCTATTTGTCCCAATACACTAAGACTTCTTGATCAGTCCGAATGCATCTAGTCCACCTGGCAGTCCAGATACCTGTCAAATGTTTAGTGGAGCGAGGCCCTATGTTTCAGTGATTTTTAATGCGTTTTCTGATGGAACTTGAAAACCTTCTGAAGAATACTTGCCACCAATCCACAAAGCATTCCCCCCCCCTTAAAAAAAAAATAAATTCACACACACACAAAGCTGACTCAAAACAAGCCAACAGCCAGTAATAAAACAGAAAAAAGAAAAAGAAAAGAAAACGGTTGGCCGCATGCAGTTGTTGAAACCCCACCCTGAAGTCATGCCAGTAATGCAAGGGACCTGACTGTCAACACTTGCCAAAGTGTAACACAATGCATGCCACTTCACCATTCACACAGATTATGACTCCACACACAACGCAGAATGGGGATGAGATGAGAACCAAGTCGCGCAGCTCATATTGTCTCAAACATATTATAAAGAATATCCTGAGTTCGTGTCTCCAGGCGCTCAACAACATGACCTGTCTCTCTCTCGAACATCAACATAATGGGGCCTGGCTTAGCCAGCGCCACCTCTCACAGCAACCAGCGAGCGCAGAACAGGTAAGTAGTCACCATAGCCATTCGTCAACCTGTCCTTCTTCTCCTTCTCTCTCTCTCACTCTCAGGATCTCAGTCTTAGTCCTCCTCCCTCACCATACATGCACACTCCTACCATGAAGATCTACTTTGAATGCTACTCACTGTAGACTAACAACTAACCCTCTAACTATGCTACTTGGCTGGTGCAGCTATGGCTGCCTCTTGCAAGCCAGCGCCCAGCTCCTTCTTCCTTCCAGCGCAGCTTCTCCTCCAGCGCTAACCCAGCTAGCCAGCGCACAAGTGCACGCAGCACTTCCACGCTGATAATGCCAGTGGGAATCTGATGTCAAGGGAGGCTGGCCTATCGCTTTATACTGCTGGCCTCCCCTGGCGAGGTCTGCATTGGTCTGTATTGGCACTTTGGGCCTCCTTCAGTACCAGACCCATGCATATGTGTGTGTCCCAGTAGTTTCCCCTCAGGGTCTGCTGCTGCGGCGGCCATTTGGCCTGGATTTCGGACTGGGTGTCTGAATCTAGACCCCCTATTAGACTTAGACAGAACTGGAAACCTGCCCTTTGACTTCCTTTTGGACAGACACATTCTGCACGAACAGACACTCATACTGCACGAACAGACACATACTGTACATACAGACACATCTCTTGCCTGAACAGACATGACCTGCGCACCCCCCTGAACGAACAGATGTGACTCCCAAGTCCAGATATTGCAGCTATTCGTACAGGGCACAACAACTGTGACCTTTGACATTGGCTTTTACTTAGCTAGGATGTGACTTTTGACCCAGAGAACATGTCCTTTGATCTGTTTTCACGAGTTGGGCCCTGGCAAGTGACCCCTCTATGCTGCATTTGCCGAACAGGGTCTGAATCGGGTAAAGGCCCTTTTAGTAAGGGCCTCACCGCACCAAATGTAAAAAAGACAAAAGTCTATGGCAGGGCGTATCTTTGCTTGTCCGAGCGGAAGATACGTTCTCCATGTTTGCAATTTTGGTGAGAAGAGCAGCGAGGCCCCGAGTCCTTACCACGGTGAGCAGAAGTAATCAAGAAACAAGAAAAAAAAGGATAATCAGTATTAAATTACTATTAATCACCCTCAATGTGTTTTTGTCTTTTCCCAACTCGCGCTGGCACAAGCTGAAGACTGTCCTCTTTTCTTGATCAGTAACATCGGTTCCGTTAACTGCAGCCATAACTTCAGGCCATATCTTTCTGCATAGAGCTTGCTCCAGACATGACCATGGGCAGCTGAATGCGGCTGACCTTGGGTAATCCCTAAGACTCTAAGAGCATATTCCTTTCTCTTTTTTTTCCTTCATAAAAATACAGCTGTCTAGCCCAAGAGGGCTAGCTCAGTCGGTTGAGCACGTAAGTGGCATTCAGGAGGTCGTGGGTTCGATTCCCCACGTCGTCCATTCGAGCCCCGCAACCTCCTGGGAGCATGCTGCGGGGAGAAAGTTGGCTTGGGCCTCCTGGTTTGTTAGGAGGTGCTGTTCCAATCTAGCCAGCAGCAGGTGTTAGGAGCCAGGGTACTGCTCTCCGCAAAAGAGCAGAGTTAGGTAAGGCTGGGATATAGAGAGAGCATGTAAACCCATAACCTTAGGATAGCCTAGGCTTAGCTAGTGAATTTAAGCTCCTGTGTTCCCCTGGTTCACTGTCTCTTGGCCCGTTGTCTGTGCTTGGTTGCCTTGGGGTGTTGTGCCGGGTTGGCTAGAATACAGAGGAGGTAACTAGAGTGAGGAAGATACCGAAAATTTGAGAGAAGAAAATAAAATAATAAAATAAAAAAAACTACAGCCATGTTCTTCTCATATTGGGGACAGTTGTACTTTTGACTACCCTATTTTCTTCTCTCAATACATCTCTCACTAACTACCCATATCTATACGCCTCTTGCAAACTACCCATATCTATGGCATACCCTTAAACCTGACGAAACAGCCTTAAATTTCCTAATCAGGATAACGACCAACTGAACTAGAACTGCCTATGGACCACAGAGCTAGCTTTTTTTCGGATAGGAGATCAGACTTAAATTGCCTAATTAGAACTAAGATATCCTGAGGTTATGGGTCTACACCTACCTAATGCTGCTCTGTGCGGGGGAGCAGCACCCAAGCTCCTAACACCTGGTGCGGGCTGGAAAGTTAGCACAACTTCCACAACCAGCCAGAAGGAACAAGCCGACTTTCTCAATCGGTGAACCTGAAGTATGCCACACAGGGGTCGCGGGGAGTCAAATGAATCGAACCCATGACCTCCTGTGTACCACTTACGTGCTCAACCAACTGAGCCAGGCCGCTCGGCCCATAAGAGCACATTCTATTAAAATTTAAAAAGAAAAACGGAAAAAAAAATGCACATCTCACTTTCCAAGGTCCAACGTCCAAATCTCTGAAATTGCTCAGTCAAGGAAGCGAAAAAAACTGCAAGACCGACGGGCCTAGCTCAGTTGGTACACTGACGTTTTCTTTAGCCTGTTTCTTTTTTTGATGTTTGCACTATCTATGGGCCCATATCGTTTGTTTTTGAAAATTCCGATGATTTTCGCACTGAAATTGCCGGCGAAAACGGCGAATATTTGGCCCCCCCTGTTAACCATCTCTCGGGCTGGTTAAGACGGGTTGCTGGAGGGCAATCAATTCAGGCCCGAAGAGTGGAAGGAGGATGAAAAAAACTTTGTATAACAACTGTAACAGGGACACTGGGCCCGGTTCCCAGCACGTGTCGCTCCTCATGAATAAGACCGGAGCCACTACAAGAGTGGACCTCCCATATGAAATGGGCTCTTAACCCTGCCTGATGGTGGGCCACTGCAGCTGGTGTTCACCAAAAAAAAAAAAAAAAAAAAAAAAAGTGTAGGCTGTGTGAAAGTTCATAGGGGTCTTGCTTTCTTAAAATAATAAAAAAAGAAAAGAAAAAAAAATTCATTCAATTTTCCACGCTCAAAGGTCCAAATCGCTGAAATTGCTCACTCCAGCAATCGAACCTGCAACCTGTTACAGTCAAAGCGTAACACAACCACTCGGCGCATGCTGCTGCTTGTTTCAGTTTCTCGGTGTGAACATACGTATGTCTTTCATGCGGACGCACGAGGTAATTGTACCTGTCCGCTCTGTGTAACTTCAACGGTGTCCTGAATTGTACTCGTAAGATTAAATTTTCCAAACTACCGTGACGCATACGCTGTGTACGAGTGCTGTCGATGTCATGTGGATTGGTGTGAATGGTCCCTGCTCTCCCCCTTGTCCGTCTTGTCGTCCAAGTTGAGACGATTGATGTTGGTCGGTTCAACTGTTTCGGTTGCATCCTATCTCAGCAAAGCGAGCTGCGATGAAGCTGAAACCTGTCGATGTGAACTTCACCCCACCCCATGTGAACTTCACCCCACCTCAGCACGATGGTTAAAACTTAATAGTACTTAATACCACGATCTGGTGTACGCAGGCTAAATTCCACCCACATGTACGTAGCCTCATTTTGGGAGAAACCAGGGACCTTGATTTCTGGATGATGGTCTCACCTGAGGATGGTTCTTCTGTACTATGCTCCATTCTTAGGATGTTCATTTTTGCAAAGGGAAAAAAAGATAACAATTTCATGCAAAGAACACAGAAAGGTCTAATGGACCTAATGGTCCAATTTAGTGACATCGCTGTTGAATTTGCTCTCATCTTTGAAGTTCAAACCATGGTTTGTACTCTGTAGTACTTTCTACTCACTTCTCACCGAAGTAACATTTCTCACTTGGGCAAGGTTTGAGTTCACGTGAAGCGTCCCGTACATCAGTACATACCCTTCTTTTGGAAGAACATCTTCCCAGACCTGTGGAGATGCCTCCTTGTCTCTGCAGACCTGCATTACAAGAATCACTACCGTCGTTACTAACGTCAGAGGGCGCTGATGATCGATCACCCACATCATCCTCATCATCTGAATGGAGATCAAAAAAATTCAAATAAATGATACAGGTGATCGTTTAACGAGTGATTGATACGGAAGGACTACTACTGTTCAAGTTTTCTGAACTTATTCATTCTAAGTTTATTTTTTTCCTCCGAACTGAACAACTTTTTTGTCGGAAACCGGGTCCATGGAGTAAGTTTATTTTTTTAATCTGACCTTTTCATTGCCACTCTTGGGCATTTACCCCCTGGGCCCCTGACCTTTTTTGCCTACCATTTCATTGAGGATTGGGCAAGGAAACCTGTGTGTTGTAGATTTTCACCACAACAACCCTGTGCGTGTGTGTGTGTGTGTGTGTGTGTGTGTGTGTGTGTGTGTGTGTGTGTGTGTGTGTGCATGCCCCCCCCCCCCCCTCCCCACCCGCAACACACACACACACACACACACACACACACACAAATCTATTTATGGCAATGTACTCGTTCATTTTTGGGTGGTTAGTCCGAAGAGAAGTTACCTCCTTTTAGCCCTCCTGAGCTTTTTTAAACCACCAGTTCCACCAGTTTTTCTGAGCCCCTTGAAACTTGAAAGCCTTCTCCGAGCCCCTGTAAATGTGGAGGTGGAGGCGACACTTTTGATGTACTAGCCCGGTAACCAGTTTGATTCATTCGGGAGTGGAAAATTGTTGGTCCAACAAAGGAGGATCCAAGAAACTGGTGGTTTGAACCCTTTTGTTTATGATTTGCTCTCAGTTTGGTTCTATCTGAGCCCGAGCTTAAACCACCAGTATACATTTCATGGGCAAATTGTTCCAACTTCCAAGTTCCAACACAAAAAAGCTGCGCACACACTGCAACTTTCGGGTTTCAGCCTGCCGAATAAAAAAACAGGTTGTGCGCAGAAGCCAAAAGAAAAGAATGTTGCACCCTTGCAGGTTTGACAAAACTGGGCCCACGGGCCCACGGTGGAAAAATCAGCTCTGTGAAAAGAGGGCTCGGAAGCACTGGTGGTTCAACCATGACCGTCAATTTTATTCTCACATTATTTTCAGAAGAATGTTCCCTTCACTCTATCGGTTCCGTTCTTCGGTCTGGCACCTTGTATAAGGAGTTGCTTCCTTAGTTGAGACTCTTGAGAGTCTCAGATATAAAGACCGACCACACTTACCGTGACTTACCTGGTTACAGGAGATTGGTTCCTTACCTGGGTCTGGCAGACGAGCGCGGCAAATAGGTTGGTACTATTTCACATAGGAACCCCCTATTTAGACACCCTTGACGTAATGCTCATCCTCTTCGACTTGTGAGTCGTGTGGAGTGATGAAGGCCGTTGCTGAAAGACAAATGCATCATGGGTCTTCGATGAATCCATGCGTTGTTCCGCTTCTCAAACTGATTTGTAACTCACCGTACGTGTTATGTGCATGGTGGTGCTTCCCGGCGTAACCTCTGATGAACCTCCTTTTTTTTTTTTTTTTTTTTGAGAAAAACAGGTCCTTTCGAATGAGATTCGGGAAGGGGGTATACTCACCTGCAGAATGATCCAGGACTTCGGTTACTATTCGTCAATTCCAGAAAAGAGGGCTGTAATACCATGCAGCCTCCACCGTGTATACCAGATGACATCGGATGTGGAATTAGTAGGGCTGGGACTACTCACCTTAAAAAGACTCCTTAGACTACAAAACTACCCCGGTAAATATTTTGAAGACTGCCTGGGTAAAGTTATCAGAAGACGGGCACCGTCGTGGAAAAAATGGGAAGCAAATACTGCGGATGGTGAGAATCCAGATAAATTGCAATAACCAAGGGGTCCTATTCTTTTTTTTTTTTTTTTTTTTTTTTTTTTTTACTCTTAATTTATTTCTCAAGTTTTATTGGATATGGAAGATCCCTGTGCGGTCAGAGAATTTCGAAGAAGCTTTTTAATGCATGAATAAAATACTGAAAGCTAGCGCGTGAGTTATATAACGTAGCGTATCTTAAATATCTGTGGATCTCCTGCGGACTTTTTGCAGACTCTTTTTGAATTTTTCAAAAAGGACAACACTAGACACGACGGGCTTGATAATTTTTAAATCTCGGGCCTTAGGATAAAGCGGATTTCTGTGGATTTTATTTTAAAAGACAACACTAGGCACGCTGGTGTAATCCGAATACAAGACTCGAACACACAACCAAGCCGTTGGCAGGCAAACACCTAACCATAAGGCTAAGTGGGCTTGGGTGACAGTGAAGCTCCAAGATGAGCACTTCACCCCACCCCAGCACGGAGATCCCGCGACCCAACCACACTCACCCCTACGCAGCCACACTGCCCATAGTACAATCTCTACGGCGGTTACCGCGCGAAAGCATGTGTAATCCGAATACAAGACTCAAACACACAACCAACGGCTTGGCAGACAAACACCTAACGATAAGGTTAAGTGGGCTTCGCTGAAAGTGAAGCCCCAAGATGAGCACTTCACCCCACCCCAGCACGGAGATCCCGCAACCCAACCACACTCACCCCTACACAGCCACACTGCCCATAGTACAATCTCTACGGCGGTTATTGCACGAACGCACGTGTAATCCGAATACAAGACTCAAACACACAACCAACGGCTTGGCAGGTAAACACCTAACCATAAGGCTAAGTGGCCTGGGGTGAAAGTGAAGCCCCAAGATGAGCACTTCTCCCCACCCCAGCACGGAGATTTCGCAACCCAACCACACTCACCCCTACGCAGATACAGCGGTTACTGCGCGAAAGCATGTGTAATCCGAATACAAGACTCGGACACACAACCAACGGCTTGGCAGGCAAACACCTAACCATAAGGCTACGTGGGCTGGGGTGAAAGTGAAGCCCCAAGATGAGCACTTCACCCCACCCCAGCACGGAGATCCCGCGACCCAACCACACTCACTCCTATGCAGCCACACTGCTCATAGTACAATCTCTACGGCGGTTACTGCGCGAAAGCACGTGTAGGCACGATGGGCCTGAGAAACTCCGCTGAGTATATTTGGCTTCAGATTTATTTTCGGACTTCGAAAGGCTTAAAACAGACTTCCAGTAGGTTTCTAAAAAAGATTTTGGAAAGATTTTTGAAGAGACTCGTTCATAAAGAACAAACAACGGGCATGAAGGGCCTGGGTAAAACCACCAAGCATAATATTTTCCAGATTTATCTTCGGACTTAAAAATTCTCGGACTTGTTCTTTCCGACATATGTTTTGGAGGAAGGTAAAATGTGTTACCGAGAGACTGGAACTATGGAAACAGAAACTTTACTGAGGCCTCTAGGAGAAATTGAAGTTAGAATCTAGTATTTATTACCTAGGTAGAGAATAAACTTTCACATCGGACTGGATCCTTTTACCCTCTTGACGAGGCTGGAATACTGGCTCCAGCCGAAACCGGTAGAGGGAAGCCAGACTACTGCCGTCCGCAGCAGGCGGTGGCTGTAGCCATAGCTAGCTCTCTTGGCTCTTACCTCTCATCCTCTGAAGAGATACCTAGGCTATGGTAATGTACTCTTGGTTCACTTTGCTTATTTTCCGAAGAGTATTTTGATTCCAAGTTACGCATCTCAGTGTGCTGTTTCTACTTTCAGCGTGCACGAGTTTTTCGCGCTTCGCTGATTTCAGTGTTGCTGACGTCGGCTCTCGCTACCAACTCCACAAGGTACCGGATGATTTGATGCATCAATCAGAAAAACCCAGATGTTTATGTGTGACGAGAAAGTTTACTCGTCTTCCCCAAGTTTTTTTATGCTCTCATAGCTGGCCAAAGTTTACTCGTCTTCCCCAAGTTTTTTTATGCTCTCATAGCTGGCCCTGCAAAGGCTCGCGGTATTTATCTCCATTTTCTGATCCTTTTTTTTCCGGGTGATATATACGGGGGACTGAACTTACCTGTTTTGTCCCAAGAAACATATAGAAAGCCACCAATTCCTCCTATTTGTTGGTACAATGCCCGCCTATTTGTTGGATTCACAAGAACGTACAGAAAGCTTAGTGGCTCAATGACAGACACAGTGTGTCACACACCCAGCTGTTGCTAAACAGGTCAGGAGTTCAGATCGCGAGGCTGAGAGCCCTCGGCAGAGCCCCAAAGGCGGGCCCTTCATTTTTCCAGCGGCCATTTCGGATTCAGGGGCCCCGCGTCAATCAGTTACTGAGGCTGCGCAGGGTCGTTGTGGACGTACGGAGGCCCTTGACACCAGCTTTCCGAAGAGGCCCAGCGTGGGTTGGTTGAGCCTCGGAGCATCTTCAACCACCGGGTAGGGCCCGGCAGGTGAAGATGCTGCCAGCCTCAGATGCTGAGGCCCAGGACCCTTACTATTTTTTTTTTCGTTTTTCTTTGGGACCCTTACAGTTTGAGCCCCAGGCACATTCTTGAAGGGCCGTAAGGCACAGCAACTGGGACTCGGGCGTGCAGCCAGGGCAGGCCCATGCAGCCAGCCACTTTCAATAAAGGAAAGTGCCTGCCTCCAGTCCAGGCACGTTCTGGCTGAACGCTGCTGCGTGAGCACTGCTTGAGCGCACACTTGAGGCAGGGTGCTGGCCAGAGTTATCGTGCACACGGGCACAGGGGATACAGCACTGCTAAGGGCAGCGTTGCACGGCGACCATATCCAAGCCACTTGTGCTTGTAGCCGGTGGAGACGGTGGAGGTCCTGGGCGATGGTATAGAGTCTGTGGAGGACCATATCCAAGCCACTGCTGCTGAAGTGCTCCTGGTTGCATCTGTGGATTGTAGGCTAGCATAGGTGCTATGCGTTTGTATCTGGGCGCCGAGTGCCAGATAGAAAAGCGACATTGGTTGGATACATTGTTGGTGGAGGCGACATGGGGGCTGATACTTGACATTTGAAGTCATTGCTTTGCTCTTATTTGGTGTGTAACTTGGTGCATTCTGCTTTCTATTGGGCTGACATTTGACATTTGAGGTCATTGCTTTGCTCTTATTTGGTGTGTAACTTGGTGCATTCTGCTTTCTATTCAGCAGACAACTATCTAGCTTCAAATGTGATGATGCAATTTGGTTTTCTGCAATTCGCTCTCGCTCATTTTCCGTGCAAGATCTTGAAGGATACAATAATAGTGCGGGCTATCCCGCTTGGGAGAACAAAGAAAACCACCAGTACCTCGCCCAGCTATTGAAGCCGAGCCTGAAAATGCTCTGCGCGCCAAAAAGAAGAACCGGCACGGGCCTCATTTTGGCTGGCGCCACCAGCCACGGCAACCCCCAGAAGTTACAGCTGTACAATAATATTACGGGCTATCCTGCTTGGGAAAAATGAAGTAAACCACCAGTACCTCGCCCAGCTATTGAAGCCGAGCCTGAAAATGCCCTGCGCGCCAAAAAAAGAACCGGCGCGGGCCTCATTTTGGCTGGTGCCACCAGCCACCATGTCCCCCGGAAGTTGCGGCTGTATACGGCCACATACTCTGTTTGTTTCTAAACTTTAAAGTGGGGAATGGTACTGGTACTACTGGTGGTTTAAGAAGAACAAAAGACTGCAGCACATGGATTTGGTGAAACATGCTAAACGCTTGAAGCCCATAGGCCAGGAAGCAGGTGGGAACCAGGTGGAACCAGATGGGAACCAGGGGGAACCAGGTGGGAACCAGATGGGAACCAGGGGGAACCAGGTGGGAACCAGGTGTGGTCCATACCTGTAGGCCAGGAACGTTATCAGTCAGTAGAAGTGTAAACATGCCATAGTCTGTGTGAGCTCCCGCTCCATATACGCCTGTGTCTGGTCTTGAAACCTCCTCTTCGACATTGCAGAAAATGGCATAAACATCAGAAAGAGCAACAACTGTCAGGTCCTTGAACACATCCATGGCAGTTAGTCAAGCCACAATCCTCGCAGATTTGACTGTCAATCCATGCAAAAAATTTATGACAGCCAGGTGTCCCACTTAGAACATTCTCAATACACTCTATCCAAGAACCCCAGCTAATTCATGGCCCAACCAAAGGAACAAATACCTCCCATCCAACAGCGGCTTCTTCTTCGTCTTCTTCGTCTTCTCTGCTGCTGCTTCGTCTTCGTCTTCGTCTTCGTCTTCATCTTCGTCTTCGTCTTCGTCAATCCATGGCCCAACCAACGGAACGAATACCACCCATCCAACTTCTTCTTCTTCTTCTTCTTCTTCTTCTTCTTCTTCTTCTTCTTCTTCTTCTTCTTCTTCTTCGTCTTTGTCTTCATTGGGGCAACCAATGGAACGAATACCACCACCTTCTTCTTCTTCTTCTTCTTCTTCTTCTTCTTCTTCTTCTTCTTCTTCTTCTCCTTCTTCTTCTCTTCCCATGGCCCAACCAACGGAACAAATACCTCCCATCCTACTTCTTCTTCTTCTTCTTCTTCTTCTTCTTCTTCTTCTTCTTCTTCAATCCATGGCCCAACCAACGGAACAAATACCTCCCATCCTACTTCTTCTTCTTCTTTTTCTTCTTCTTCTTCTTCTTCTTCTTCTTCTTCTTCTTTGTCTTCGTCGTCGTCTTCTTCTTCCTCTTCTTCCTCCCCCTTCTCTTCTTCTTCCTCCTCCTGCTCTTGTTCTTCTTCTTCGAGATCAAAAGGTTGGTGACTCAATTCTCTCTTCCCTAATACTCTAAAGCAAAACGTGGGTCTCGCATGACGCGTCCCGCTGAGACCTTTCCCGCGTGGGCCCGGTGCGGTTTTTTAAGGGCCGTTTTTTTTTTTGGGTTGATGTTGGCGCGGCTTCGTGGGCCCGGCGGGGTTTTCTGTTTACTGCCATTTTTTTTGGGGGGGGGGGGTGGTGTCGGCGCGACTTTATGAACGGGCTTTTTTTTCGCTACGGTTTTTTTTCGTGCCACGCCGTAGAAGTTGTCGGCCATGTTCAACCAGGTAGTGAATATTTCTATGTTCTAGGGGAAGATTCATTCGATTTTGCTCATCCTATC